GAGGAGCCCTCCGTCCTCCTGTGCGGTCACTGTCCCCCCCCTGCAGGGAGGAGCCCTCTCCGTCCTCCTGTGCGGTCACTGTCCCCCCCTGCAGGGAGGAGCCCTCTCCGTCCTCCTGTGCGGTCACTGTCCCCCCCCTGCAGGGAGGAGCCCTCTCCGTCCTCCTGTGCGGTCACTGCCCCCCCCTGCAGGGAGGAGCCCTCTCCGTCCTCCTGTGCGGTCACTGTCCCCCCCCTGCAGGGAGGAGCCCTCTCCGTCCTCCTGTGCGGTCACTGTCCCCCCCCTGCAGGGAGGAGCCCTCTCCGTCCTCCTGTGCGGTCACTGCCCCCCCCTGCAGGGAGGAGCCCTCTCCGTCCTCCTGTGCGGTCACTGTCCCCCCCCTGCAGGGAGGAGCCCTCTCCGTCCTCCTGTGCGGTCACTGTCCCCCCCCTGCAGGGAGGAGCCCTCTCCGTCCTCCTGTGCGGTCACTGTCCCCCCCTGTCCTGTGCGGTCACTGCCCCCCCCTGCAGGGAGGAGCCCTCCATCCTCCTGTGCGGTCACTGTCCCCCCCCTGCAGGGAGGAGCCCTCTCCGTCCTCCTGTGCGGTCACTGTCCCCCCCTGTCCTGGGCGGTCACTGCCCCCCCCCCTGCAGGGAGGAGCCCTCCATCCTCCTGTGCGGTCACTGTCCCCCCCCTGCAGGGAGGAGCCCTCTCCGTCCTCCTGTGCGGTCACTGCCCCCCCCCTGCAGGGAGGAGCCCTCTCCGTCCTCCTGTGCGGTCACTGTCCCCCCCTGCAGGGAGGAGCCCTCTCCGTCCTCCTGTGCGGTCACTGTCCCCCCCTGTCCTGTGCGGTCACTGCCCCCCCCCCTGCAGGGAGGAGCCCTCCATCCTCCTGTGCGGTCACTGTCCCCCCCCTGCAGGGAGGAGCCCTCTCCGTCCTCCTGTGCGGTCACTGTCCCCCCCCCTGCAGGGAGGAGCCCGCCGTCCTCCTGTGCAGTCACTGCCCCCCCCCTGTCCTGTGCGGTCACTGCCCCCCCCTGCAGGGAGGAGCCCTCTCCGTCCTCCTGTGCAGTCACTGTCCCCCCCCTGCAGGGAGGAGCCCTCCGTCCTCCTGTGCGGTCACTGTCCCCCCCCTGCAGGGAGGAGCCCTCCGTCCTCCTGTGCGGTCACTGTCCCCCCCCTGCAGGGAGGAGCCCACCGTCCTCCTGTGCGGTCACTGTCCCCCCCCTGCAGGGAGGAGCCCTCCGTCCTCCTGTGCGGTCACTGTCCCCCCCCTGCAGGGAGGAGCCCTCTCCATCCTCCTGTGCGGTCACTGCCCCCCCCCCCCTGCAGGGAGGAGCCCTCTCCGTCCTCCTGTGCGGTCACTGTCCCCCCCTGCAGGGAGGAGCCCTCCGTCCTCCTGTGCGGTCACTGCCCCCCCCCCTGCAGGGAGGAGCCCTCTCCATCCTCCTGTGCGGTCACTGCCCCCCCCCCTGCAGGGAGGAGCCCTCTCCGTCCTCCTGTGCGGTCACTGTCCCCCCCCCTGCAGGGAGGAGCCCTCCATCCTCCTGTGCGGTCACTGCCCCCCCCCCTGCAGGGAGGAGCCCTCTCCGTCCTCCTGTGCGGTCACTGCCCCCCCCCCTGCAGGGAGGAGCCCTCCATCCTCCTGTGCAGTCACTGCCCCCCCCCCTGCAGGGAGGAGCCCTCCATCCTCCTGTGCGGTCACTGCCCCCCCCCCTGCAGGGAGGAGCCCTCTCCATCCTCCTGTGCGGTCACTGTCCCCCCCCGTCCTGTGCGGTCACTGTCCCTCCCCTGCAGGGAGGAGCCCTCTCCGTCCTCCTGTGCGGTCACTGTCCCCCCCTGCAGGGAGGAGCCCCCCTGTCCTGTGCGGTCACTGTCCCCCCCTGCAGGGAGGAGCCCCCCTGTCCTGTGCGGTCACTGTCCCCCCCCTGCAGGGAGGAGCCCCCCTGTCCTGTGCGGTCACTGTCCCCCCCCTGCAGGGAGGAGCCCTCCGTCCTCCCGGGTGACAGCAGGCCAATTCAAACAGCGGCAGAGAAATCAGCAGCTCAGGTGCTTCTTACGGTGGCATTTGGTGTTTTCACTTTCCTTTGGCCCCAGCTCTGCCCTTTGGGAGTGAGAATCGCTGGCCGGAGTGGAGGCAGTTCTGGGGGCCTTCGCCCTTCCAGTCCGCTCTGGGATGAGTGTGCAGCCCGTCCTGGTCGGAGCAGCCTGTAGCCATTGCCCGGATGTGCTCCAGCTGGAAGCACAGGCAAAGGCTCCGGCTCCGGGGTCCGGCCCCATCGCCTCCTGTGTGTCCAAGGCCTCCCAGTGGGAAGTGCCTTCCTACACTGACCTCCGCCCTGGCCGGCCTCACCCGTTAGCGCTCCCAGCGCCTCCGTTAGCCGCCAGGGGGCAGTTATCTTGAGTCCCATCTAAAATTCCTACTTCTCTCCCTATGAGACAGAGCGGGCATTTCACAGACTGACGGAGGAATGCTCCCAGAAATGTGTCCTTAGGCAACACCATCGTTGCGCCAACGGCACAGACTGCACGTCCGCACCCGATGGCCCGGTCGCCACTCCCAGGCTCTGTGCGGGGCCCAGCATTGTCCCCCGGCGCGGGGGGCGCTGGAGGCGGTCTGGGTGCCGCAGGAATGCTTAAAACATGCAGGGCCTGGCTGCTTAGTCATGGGCACTGACCTCGGTTCCCTTCGATTGTCAAATAAGAAAAATGGCAACAGCCAACACAATAGCCATCAGGTGTGAATGAATCAAAATTATACTCTTGTTTGCGTGTCAAATCGAAAAAATACAGATATTTTGGAGAGCCGCAGAAGCTCAGTAATTAGCTGATGTCCGTGCAATGAGACGGTTGGAAGTCACCGGGGCCGTCTGCTGCTCCACGGCTGCAGCCTGTCCAGCACGTCACGGTACTGACTGCTGTAGGCAACGGAATACAGCGGTACTTGTCCGTCTAAACATGGAGAAGGCACACCCCCATGACTTTCTGCACTGTGTTTAAAGGGACACAATAAAAATGCAGCACAACAACCAACGTGTATGCGCGCTTTGGGGGTCGGAGGAGGGCTGTGAACAGGGTCTTCCGGCCAGGAAATAGACATGGGGGAGGGGAGGACGGAAGGGAGAGCAGACCCAGAGAATAAGCCTGAGATGAGAAATGATAAAAGGGAGCGGGGAGGAGAGAGAGGGAGGGACAGACGGAGAGGAAAGACAGAGAGGAAGGGAAACGGAGGGGAGAGAAGGGAGTGTGTGCACACAAGTGTGTGCGTGTGTGTGCATCCCAGGGAGACAGCATGCCGAGCCTCCTCTTCTCTTACACACCCCGAGCTCACAGGAAATTCAGTATGGATGTCAGTTCCAGCGTTTTCTTTCAAAGTCACAAACATGCTTTCTGCTTATAACCCATGAGGCCACCATCACATGCCTATGGCCCATTGTTGACCGGAACGTCGTTACGTGACGCATGACTGTAGAGTACCGGGTGGTTACCTGGGTGACTGTGTGGCTGATGCAGCCAGCCACCATCACAAAGGAGTGTCTATCACGTATTGCTAGCCTGGAAGGATCCAAATTCAGAATGTGACGTGCGGTTTCTCCTGGATGCTTACCACATTTGCACCAGCAAAAAGTCGACTTTGCGAGCCAGGGGCCATCTAGGCAGTCTTTGGTAAAGAGTGGAAAGCAACTCATCAAAGTAGTTCTTAAGGAAACAGGATTTTTATAGGAGAGAACAGAAATTATAGTCTGTACAGGTCAGAGTTCAGTTGCAGATAACAAGTCACTCTAGCTAGTCAAGGCAAGAAGAGGTTTATTTCAGGACAGAAAGTTGATTTGGTAAGTGTAGGAAAGATTGAGGAAACAGACCACGGTTTGTGTTATCAGCAAAGACATCAAAGCCATACAGCCGGACCCAAGCACACAGAGAGGGCCGCCTCTCCTGGGAACAGGAGACACTGCCACTCTGGCAGTCTGGAAGCTTCCGTGGTTAGGATGCTATTGCTGCCGCTCACAGAGCCATGTGACAGCTGCTAGGATCCATACCAGCTAAATGTACTGTGCTCTGCCTCTTGGCACCCAGGAATCTGGTGGTGGGCACTAAGGCTGCAAAAACCCAAACACAGCCACATCCACGCTTGCCAGCTCCACTTCTTCCTCTCCCATCTCATGTAAGCACTGATTGGCTGAATCTGAAGCATCACATTCAGAACCTTAGCTGCAAGGGAGTCTGTGGTATATGAGCTTTGGCTTTCCCTCTGCAGTTCAGGAAGTCACACCAGCCTTAGCCGGTTTGGCTCTATGGATAGAATGTCGTCCTGCGACTGAAGGCTCCCAGGTTCAGTCCTGGTCAGGGCACATGCCCGGGTTGCAGGCTCGATCCCCAGCAGGGGGAGTGCAGGAGGCCGCCAATCAATGATTCTCTCTCATCATTGATGTTTCTATCTCTCTCACCCTCTCCCTTCCGCTCTGAAATCAGTAAAAAAATATTTTTAAAAATAAAATAAAATATTTAAAGAAAAAGAAAGACATACCAGAAGGAGATTTGGGGTGATACCCCCATAGTTATCACAATCATTATCACAAGTCCATCTAAATGAAAAAATGAGAGAATTTGTGAATAAAAGCAGAGAATCTTTTCTTCTCAAGAGTTCTTTACTTGGGATCTACTTACTCCTGTCCATAAGCAAAATTCAGAGAGTCCTTAGACATGGCTGGGAATAAATCACATACCTATTTTCACTACCTGCTAACTGAGACTTCCTTTAAATCATGAATGTAGGAAAGACATTGCAATAGCATTAACAGTACCTGTATCCAACTGTCCGCTTTTTATAAAGACAGTGATCATGTTGGGCTCACACCAATGACCTCAAGTTGGTTAAATCTCCAAAGACCCTGATTCCTAAAAGGTCACATTCTAAGACGCTAGGGCAGTGGTCGGCAAACTCATTGGTCAACAGAGCCAGGTATCAACAGTACAACGATGGAAATTTCTTTGGAGAGCCACGTTTTTTAAACTTAAACTTCTTCTAGCGCCACTTCTTCAAAATAGACTCTCCCAGGCGGTGGTATTTTGTGGAAGAGCCGCAAGTGGCTCTTGAGCTGCAGTTTGCCAACCACGGCGCTAGGGGTTAGGACTTCAACTTGCCTTCTTTTGGGAAACACAATGCAACTCATATGTTATTAGTACCATCAGTGTTACAGTATTCTAATATGCAACTGGACAACAGATTTTAGGATAAATTCAAGTATAACTTAGATGGTATTGAAGGCTGTAAGAATAATCAGTTCTATCCAGAAATTTTAGAAATGCATAATTTCACACGTGGTTTTGTTTCTAAAAATAAATAACGGAAATGGCAACTCAACAGAAACTTAGAGAAAGGACTTTACAAAAAGACATGAATCTTCATTCAGCCTAAATTCTCCCTTATCATTAGAAATATCTGATGAGCTAAATTAAAATCCTCAAAGCTGAGATCCAGAAATATGTACTGATAGAAACTTCCCATTAATCTAATTATCAGACAGGTCTAAGAATGATAATTATCAGTTTAAAGTTTGCAAAATAGTTTATTCATGAGTGAAGCATACAAATATTGATATGGAAAGAAATTACTCATTAAATAGGGATTGGTATTTTTAAAACTATCAAAATGTAGTAAAAATCAGAAACCTCAATTGAGATCATAAATGAGCTTTAAATCAATTTGAGCATTTCTTAACCACAGCTTATTTTTTTTTTCCTTTCAATGTACCACAAAATTTAACGGCTAATAACACTTTCAACCATATAGTTCACATATAATGAAAGATTATTTTCTCAGTTGAGTTTATCTTAAAGTATCAGAGGTATACCACATATAACATTGGATTATTTTTTTTTACTTCAAATTATTTTTTTCATGTATTGAGATTTTTATCATACGAAAAGCTTGCGATTAGGATGAAGGGAGCCAGAGCAGGATTTATACCATCCGCTGATGCTAAAATGAGTAAAACAGAGCACAGGAGGGGAATATGCTGTGCACACACCACGAGGAGACCAGCGCTGAAGGTCCAGTGTTCCCTGCCAGAAGCTGCCAGTAGCTCCCCATGCCGTGTGGGGTCAGTGAAGATCCCCAGCCCAACCATTTGTTTTTATTTTCTACTTGCTGCCATCGCCTGCTCTGGGAGTCAAACCACACGACTTCCTGTTCTCTGCCCTCAGTCTCCAAGTCCCCATTCTTTCCCTCCACCTCCCCCGTGGCAGCCTCCCTTGGGCGCAGCCGCAGATCCTGCTCTCCGAGGCCACGCTCTGGCCACCCCCTGCCCTAGCCCTCTCCTCACTTCCCTGGCAGGAAGTAGCACCTGCCCTTTCCAAGGTCCCAGGACTGCCTTGGCAGCTGACACTCACAATCAAGTGCTTCCTCCTCCTCTGAGAGTGATGTAGGTGTAGTACACTTGTTCTCCGACCCATCCCAGCGGCTCCCCGCGGGCCCATCTGTCACAGCTAAACCGGCAAGTGCCTTGGGCACAGATGCGTTCTCTGAAAATTCAAGAGCTCAAGTATGTATGATTAGAAAGCCTGGAATCATCATCTGAATTTCATGGTTTACATGAAATCTGTAACGCCCGGGTGGTTGGGACCGTTGGGTGGTGTTTGTCTGATGTTAACACATTCATCAGCTGCTTCTGTGCTTTCTCAGGTGCCAGTCTTCTGGGTGCCCCGGACTTGTCTCGTGGGCAGGGAGCTAACAGTCAGGGAACCGGTAATTTGGCTCCTGGGCAGGGAGCTTAAGGGAAGGAACAGGGGTCCAGGGAAGAGGGCTTGACATTTTGTGAGCATCCACAGTGCACCGGTTACTGGATTCAGGAATGTTATTAATGGGCCACGCCGGATAGAGACCAGGTCCCCAACCCCATGCCTCCTGCCCGCCCCTATGACCTCTGTTTACAGCAGTGGTCTGTGGTTTGTCATCAGTTAAGGCCTGACCTTTTGGCACTAGATCGTTAGCTTAGTTTCATTACAAGTTGGAATGCCAGAAAGGAAAAGAGAGAAGAAACGTAAACTAAGATTTGTCCTGTAAAAGTATTCATACCGCTGTCAAAAAGCCACTGGCCTTCCCCATCTTCCCTTTGGCCACCCACTTCCTTGAGGCCAATGGAAAAGGCCTGTTTCCACTGAGGACCTGGGAATCTGTTGGCCACTGTCTGGTAGCTCCTGGGGTTTGCCTTCCTGGTAGACCAGCGCCATCTAATGGTGAAAGGGACAACCTGAAGCTCTGTTACCTAAAATGGGCCTTCGGTTTACTGGTATTTGTCTTTGTTCCTTAGACCGAGGACAAAGGAGGGGCTCTCCAGGATTGCACAAAACTCAACGTGAAGTTAGAATGTGCACGATCTAACAGCTCATCTGTATTGAGCATTGCTAAATCCATATTTTAAAGCTCATTCAGTCAATAAAGGCTGCCAAAGAAAATACTACTTTCTTTGATTCTAAAAGAGGTATGAGTCACCCACAGTCGTATCTGTTACATGAAGATTAGCCCAGACATGGAAGAGCAGGCAAAAGACTGTGATAAATCATATAACTTACTGCAGTGAGACTTACAGGACAGAGCTTTGCTGTCTAAAGTTCAAACTCAGGGTTCCACCCTTGGCGTTCCATACACTGCTCTTCTTGGCCAAGTCTCTCCTGACATGGCGGCAGCTGGGAAAACAAAAATGAACGTGTTGAAACTGGCCGCTGAGTGTGGCTGTGTATGAATTCTCCTTCGGTATGGGTCATTTATCCGGTGGGTGTTTAAACTGCCATTTCCTAAATGAGCTGTGAGTTCAGCAGTGAAATAGGAAGTTTTGCAGACGACCTCCCCTCCCCCGAATGGGTCGGCAGGGGGACTCCAGCCACTGCCTCCTGAGCTCCACGCTGTGTTTCGCTCAGCAAGGTGCCTTGGGAGCAGGAAGGAGCGGTGAAAGGTGCCACCTTGAGAACAAAGAGTGCCTTGCTGGCTTGTGTTTTGGCAGCGGGGCCTGGCCTTCCCTGGTGCCTCTGCCAAAACCAAATCATTTCTTGCCAGTTACCAGGTAAACTAGTTTTTACAAGATGCGTAGGATTCTAGGATAGAAACGGATTTTAAACTGTAGTAAACTGGGAACACTCTGGAAGGAGTTATCTGGTCCCTCTTCGGTCTTTTGGTTTGGTTGGTTGGTTGGTTGGTTGGTTTTTTTTAATTCTCACCCGAGGATATTTTTCCATTAATTTACTTTTAGGGAGATTGGAAAAGAGAGGGAAAGACAGAGAGAAATATCAGTGTGAGATAAACATTGATTGGTTGCCTCCTGCACCAGCCCTGACCAGGGCCCAGGCCGGGGGGGAGCCTGCAACCAAGGTGCATGCCCTTGACCGGAATCAAACCCAGGATCCTTTGGTCCTCAAGCCGACACTATCCACTGAGCCAAACCACTTACGGCTCCTCTTCAGTCTTAAAGGCATGCTGCCTGGGATATTTTTCCATCATCAAGTTTCTTGTGAGAAAGAGTTAGAGATTTCACACTCGGGAGAAATCATAGCGGGCCTCCTATGCAGCCGCCCTTTCAGCATTTGAAACCCTGAGTGACCTGCAGGAGGTCCCAGACAGAACTGGGCATCTCCCGAGAGAAGTGAGATGGAGTGGAGTGGTGGTGTTAGCTGTTCTCAGACCTAAGAAGTGGGTCAGAGATGGGTCAGCTCCACACTGGACCAGTTCTGTAATTCTGAGATGCCACAGGTTCAGCTTGGCATCTCTGCCATTGTATTAGCTTTCTCCTGGTGGTCACAGCTGGCGGCAGCCATTCCAGAGTCTCATCCTCACTCACCCGCCCCCAGGGCGGTGAGGAGAGGCTGGGCAGGTGCTCCTCTTCTCCTCTGCGGGCATTTTCCCAGACTCTCCTGACAGCTCACTGGCTAAATTCTCTCACTCATGGTTCCGGACTGAATGTGCTCCCCCAAATGCCTATGTAGACGCCTAAACTCCCAAAGCGATGGCCTTGGAGGCGAGGCCTTTGGGAGGTCACTGGGCTTAGATGAAGTCACCAAGTGTAGGGTCATATGCATGACAGGGACACGATAAGAGACACTAAGGAAGGGGCCGTTACTGGTGTCTGCGTGAGCACACTTTTGAGAATAAAGGGGCTGCTAACAGAGGGAATACCTGCACAGGGTGTCATCTGGCCTCTGGAGGGAAACATAAATATGCGGTCACCTTGGAAACCAACACAGTCCTGTGGAGGGAGCAGGTGTTAGAGAGCGTGGGTGTGTGACGGGTCCAGCCGGCAGGGGCCCTACCACGCGCTGTTGGCAATACAGCGTCAGGTTCCAAGAGAGTAGCAGTTGGCACACAGAGGTGGGGAAAGCGGGCAGCAGTATGAGCAGATCCAAAGAAGAAGGGCTGGCTGCGTCACGGACACGTCTCTGGGTGGCTGGTCGGAATCTGCCAGCACTGTCCAATGGAGTTGTTGGCAGTGATGGATGTCTGCGATACCTCAAGCCACTTACCTCGCGTGGCTGTTGAGCAAATGAATTATTAATCACCAATAACTTAAGTTCAAGTGTAAATAGCCACACCTGGCGACCGCATTAGAAAGTGCTGGTTTGGATTCAGCCAGGAGAAAGGTGAAGCAAACTTCAAAAGCAGGACGGAGGTGCTGTCCAGAGGTGAGGGCAGACATGCTGTGTGTGGTTCTGTGGAATGTGACCATGCTGGGTAAGGACCAGAGAAGAGTCGGTGGGCCCAGGAAGGTGAGGAGAGAAGGCTGAGCATGGGCAGCCGTGGGTATGGCCCAGGGGGATGATGGGAGTTGGGGTGCTGGGGGGCACTGCACACTAAGGCCTTGAGGAAAGTCAGTGGGTTCCCCAAGAACAAGGGATGGAAGTCACAGGGGAGTTTGGGGCTGGTCTGCAGATGTCCGTTGTGTTCTGAGTTTCCTGGAGAAGACCCTGTGGACCAAACAGAGTGTACATTCCTCTCTCTGGCCCCAGACATGGCAGGGAGGCAAAGGGGAGAAAGTGAATTTTGTTTTCTTTTGACAAAGGAGAATAGTGGTGTTGTTAAACCTATTTTCTTCCTGTTAATGTCTGCAATGTCCTAGTTATTTATTTAAAAGATATTTAAACTGGGGTGATAAATTATATTAAACGATAAATAAATCATTTTATTTTTCAGATCTGCTTTGCCTTTGGAAATGCACTCCACTTGGAGGTAAGGAACCATGTATAGTGCTCTGCATTTTTATAGAAAAGACCTTATACATGTGCAACCCTGTGGTCGTAAGGAAAGACCACGGAAGGTACTCATTCATTCATTTGTTAACAGTGACTCTGAGGTGTGAGTGAAAATGTAGAGGGAAATTTTATACTTTTACATTGTAAACTTTAGTGTTATGTAATGTTTTGTTACATAATTTAATTTTTTAAGTTATAGAATTTTTCAACTAAAAGCAAAGAAAAAATTAATGACCTAGAGATAAGCAGTGTAAATATTTCTAAATAAAATACCTGTTATATAGAACTACAAAATTAGGAAGTGAGAAACCTAGTAGAATAATCATTTCTGATTTTAAGACACTAGGTCAGTTGTATTGAGATTTTCCTTGGATAAAACCTATATTATCTGTTAAAGAACAATTGAAAATTTACACAATCATTTTCCACGTAAAGGTTCTAAAAACAAAATATGGGCAGTTTAAACTTTGACCCCATCATTAAAACAATGAATTCATTAATTGACACTTTCACTACTTTTAGTCAAATTAAGATCAATACGTTACTAATATTTAGTCTTAAAACATTTAGAAATTTATTTTTAAAATATAAGCTACCACAGAAACACTGAACTTCATTTCCCATTAGTAAGAAAAATTCATGTTAATTTTAATGTGCTTATTTGTAAGGTCACTAAGTTATTCTTTAACCTTTTAAACTCTTCACTCTGAGAAATCTTTTCTTTCTGATAAAAATGAAACCCCAGATGCTATCCTGGTTTGGAGACCATCTGTTGAACTCCTATAGAACTTGCTAGAGTACATACACATTTCCTCTATGAAAAGGAAGTGTGTTAATAAATATGAAATTTATACCTTGAAATGTACACAGCTTTCTTTAAGGTTCCAGTGAATTCCGTGGTACTGTCCTGACGTCTTAGGCACTGAATCCTTGTTGGCTATGTGTTGTTGCAGACCTTTCCCCGCAGAAGCCAGCATGAGCCTCCTAAGCACACGCACCTGGTGCGGCAGAAGCGAGCCTGGATCACGGCCCCCGTGAGTCTGAGGGAAGGAGAGGATCTGTCCAAAAAGAATCCCATCGCCAAGGTACTTCCTAAAGAGGAACAGAAAGCATGTGCATATCACCAAAATGTGCCAGAAGACTGTGTGTCCACTTTCAAATTTAAGGAAGATTCTATAATGTACTTGATGAGGGTTTTTTTTAATATTGCAGATGTATTTGAAAATTAGCAAAGCTTAATTTTTATCAGGAACCTCTAGTTTTAAGGTCTTCTTTCTTATCATATTCACCAATGTCACCCCAATAAATTTAACTTAAAAAAATAGGAACCCACACCCGAAGCCTATATGATGATGTCTCCCAATACATGTAATTATTAAAAAACAACTTCCTCTTTCCCATTCTGGAAGATGCGCCATCATTGGTGAAGATACTAGGATGTGTGTAATTTGGGGCTTTGATTAAATTAAGAGTTCAGGGGCCTTGCACAGGTTGAATCTCCGTGTAACAGGTTACAATAACCAAAGGAAGTATCACATGCTTGGGAGGAAAAGTTGTTTTTCCTGCCACCCCCCTGGGTTCTCCGACAAAAGAAAAATTAACAGGAGAAGAGTACACGTTTATTGACGTGTGTGTCATGCATGTGACACGTGGGAGTATCCAGAGATGAGTAACTCCAAGGTCTGGTTGGAATTTGGCGTCTTAGGAAAGGAACATTAATTCTTAGAGAAGTGACGAGGCAGAGGAGACGGGCCTGGGGTTGTGGGCAGCCCCGGTGGGCAGACAGACACATGGGGACGATGGCAGAAAGCCTCGGCAGTCAAGTGTGTTATGTGGAGTCCTTGTGCCATCTCAGCACTGAAAAGAGTTGTCAGTGAGGATTAACTTTTGTCCTTGGTAGAGAAGAGAGAGAGAAAGAGACCACCTTTATAAATTTATGTTCTGCGTTTAGACAAACGGGGAGGGCAGAGAGCTTTTTTTAAATCCGCTTCTTCTCAATTGCCTTCAGCTCAAAATAAACCTACACCAAGGTGGCATATTTGGGAGTGGCATATTCTGTTCTCGGACACATGAGGACTAATTTTCAAAAGGAAAAACGATACCGAATAGATAAGGTGATCTATCCAGCTTGAGACAGTCTCCGTTAATGCCGCTGTCCTGGCCCAGTAGTTAATAACTCCCTTCTCGCACTCAGCGTCCTATTTCTTTATGGTTCTATGTCATGTGCGAGCCTGAGTCCCTGATTGTTTTCCCTTAAAGGTGCTCTAAGTTCTCCCCAAGTCAGTGAATGGCACTATCATCCCATCCAGCTTTTTTAAAATGTAGCAGGTGTTATGAGCTTCACCCTGAAATACATTCCGGATCTGCCCACTTCTCTCCACTGCCACCCCCAGTCCAAGTCAGTGCCATCTCTGATCCGTCTTCCCCAAAGAGTCTTGACCCTGTGTCCCTGCTCTCACTCTGGCCACCCCATGCCAACCCAACCCCCACCACAGTTCATTCTCCCAAAAGCAGCCAGAGTGATGGTTGAAAAGATAAATCAAAGCATGCTCCCCCACTTCGTGAGACCTTTTCAACTGCTTCCCTTGGGATTTATTGGCCTTGACCTCGGCTCTTATCAGCCGCATCCTCCACTCTGCTACATCCCCTAACCGATCTAACTCATTCTACATTTCAGCCCCTCCCCTTCGCCCTTCCGCTTGCTCTGCTGGAAGCCTGGCCCCACGGGTATCTGCAGTGTGGGGTCCTCAGGGCTCCTGTCCCTGCCTCACCCTGTCCCTCTATCCCATCCCTGTGTCACTTGGCTCATGGCGC